CGCTAGGACGTGCCTGTTCTCCACTCGGCAGCCACCGCCGAAGGACCATCGCGAGAGGGAGGCGAAGGGACGAGCCAGTCAAGAGCGAGCCAGGGAAAATTTCTGCGTATCGAAAGGTAGACGATCATCCCCGCGTTTCATCGCGGTTTCTCTCTCACTCTCGATTCTTCCGTTTGTCAGGTGGCCGGATTCGGCGAGCGGACTCTGAAATTTCAGCGACGAAATGTAATTGCAAACCCGTTTTATCGCCCGCCATGTAACCGGCCACTTTTGGCGCATTCATACAGGTAGTTGCCCACGGGCTCGAATCAAATTTCATTTTATTCCGTTGAACGTTATTACATTTCGGGCAGTATTTGCGAAAGGGAAATTCACGTTTTCGCATTTGCCTTGAGAAATTTTGCCACGGCTGGCTGTGCGTGCACGCGTAAGTTTTTAAATATAATTTTATCCCGGGTAATCGAGCCTGTCGTCAAGTCTCTTTGAAATGATAATATATGCGCTTCCATATTTCATTTATTAAGACAAATTGAAATTAATTGCGCCGACCGTGTGCGTGCGTGAGCGAGAGAAACGACATTTATGCGTGCTTAAACCCGTCAATGAAATTCTCATTCAATGAAATGCATCTTTAATTGCGATTTGCCTAGCCTGGGTAGCTCGTACACGCCGATAAATGACTATAGTATTTGTAGACGCAACAAGTGTACGATTTCTAGGTCTACTATATCCGGTTTGGCGTTACTGCACACGGCACGCTTTAATTGTCAAACTTTGCCGTTCGTTTCGGACGTAGACAAACGTCAATATCGGGGCTATAATTCCCGGGAATTTAATCCAGTGATCGTTTAATTGAGAACACCTCGCGACGACAATAACGAGACCGTTCGCGAGAGCAAATAACCGCGCAAATAATAATCTCCGTACGTTTCGCGCAAAATGTTGTTTTAATCCGGAGACAGAGGGAGGGGGTGCCGCATCGATAATAATTTTAATTATTAATTACCGATTTAAATTTATAATTATTAGCTTTAGATACTCGAGGCGAAACAAAATCTGAATTATATTGAACGCGAAATTATGTGATCTTTATATACGAAAAAAAAAAAAGGAAGTCTTTTGCGAGTTTGAAAGGTCGAGGGTCATATATTTTTCAGTATCACTTGAAAATCCGATTAAACTTTCCGGATTGCGTAACGCAAGCCATTTGCTACATGCGATGCTGCGTGAAATGCAATAAACGAAGTTGTCACAGTACTGCAAATACGCAGTTGTGCAAATATATATCGTTCTCCACACGCAATTTTGAACTCTGACATTTCATAACGGCACCGTCCGCTTACGCTGGCTGCTCTCTGCAGCCATTTCCAGCATCACCATTAGAGTTCATGTAATTACGCGGGTTAACTTACCCTCAGAGAGTCTCCGTAATTTGTTAATGAGAAGCCAATTGAGAGCAATTAAGCGGTAATTCGATCGTGCAACACGCGGAAACTTGTCCTCGAACATTATGAAATTTTTGCTAAATCTAACGTGCTTCTAATAGACAAGACAAACAAATTTAACGCATCTTAAATTTTTTTGTAACGTCCGACGAAGTCTCCTCCCTCCCGCCGGAATTTTGATTAAAAAATAATGGCCTTTTAGGATATCTGTTATTTTCCGAAGAGTTATAGTATACTTTTTATACATACGTATGGCTTTATACATACTTTATACGTATCATCGCTGCCATGCGATAAAACAAAGTTCAATAAAGTCATCCTGTCAAGTTACACATGTGTGACGTAAAGCGACTGGGTAGACCCTCTGGCTGTCTACGTCATACGGTAGCGTCACAGCTGAAGAAAGTAAACCGCGTCGATTACACGAAGTCGTGACGTCGCCGTGAAGCGACGGCGTCATACCTGAAGATATTTTATCACCGATTACACTATCGACGTAACATTTTTATGTAACCGCAAATATACACAACGGCGAACTCTTTATCGAGCGCCCTTATTGCTCTCGCACTCGGTCTTTCCACCGTGGAAATAGACTCTCAGCATTTCGCATTGTATGACATTTAAGCTTCCTTTCTTTGTACGGTGACCCGGCTTCAATCTTTAATAAAACTCGAGACATCCTCAATAAAGTCACGATGATCAACGGTCGGAAATTCATTGTCAAGAAAGATAACTCTTGAAGGCATGAACGGAAAGAGAGAGAGAGAGAGAGAGAGAGAGAGAGAGAGAGAGAGAGAGAGAGAGAGAGAGAGAGAGAGACGTACGTACGTAAC